CCGGCTGCCTGCAGCTCCCGGGCAGGAGGTATTTGGCTTTGTGCCGGTCCAGCCCCGCACGGCGGGCGATGGCTGCTGTTTGTTGTCAGCCAAATGCTGCATCCCCCCTGCTAAGAGGCTCCCTATGGGATCCCAACCTGGGGCTCGGGAATTAAGTGGCTTTTAAGCTCTGCAATAAAAAAACCATTTGAGTTGAAGAATGTTATTATTCCTGGAAGGGGGTTTGCACTGCTTGCTTGGATTTGCTTAAGGTGACTGAGTACACACACTGACCAAGGAAATGCACTGCAGGAGTCTCCTGGGAGGCTCACCAAGCACCAAACGACAGACACCCCCACGCTGGGCAGTCAGGTCAACCCAGAAGGAAGCAACGAGTCCAGCTCAGCCCAGCTGCCCAGGCAATTCAAGCGTCCCAGCCCACCCGGGCAAGGAAGTGCTGCTCCCCAGGATGTCCCCACACCTCTCCGCAGGCAAGGAGCCTCCCTGGGCTCCCACTGAGCCCCCGCGGGGACAGGCAGACCCTGTCCTGCACCGTGCACATGAAGATCCTGGCTCGGCCTGGGCAAGGATGCCAATCTGATGGCACCAGATGGCAAGTTTGGTTTTCACCAGCTGAGCACATCTCTCTCCCTCCAGTGCCTGGACATCAGATATGCTCTTACTGAAACCAGCCAGTAGCTGCTTCTGCAGAGCCAGAGGGTGACCGAGTGGGTACAAGTGCAGAGGCCACATCCTGGGCCAGGTGAGAGGGGACCCTGCAACCCTATGAGGACTCGCCGTATCTTTTGCGAATCATGGAGGAAGGTGGGCACTTTGCTGTGCTGCAGGGAAACAGCGTCACAGAACTCTGCGCCTGCTCACTGGGATGCAGCTGTCTGCGGAAGAACTGCAGCGTTGGCAAGAAAGCATTTTTCTGCCATTCCCATCTGCATTGAACCAGTGTCAGACAAGGCTTAAGGCTGCAAAAACCAGTAGGAGAAACCAAAATAAATCAGGATCTTTATTTCCCATAGGAAATTCACCTAGATCCCATTTATAGTCCATTTGCCCTCATCCTTATGTAACTCCTCTGCAGAAGAGGAGCAGAAAACGCAGAGAAAATAAACAATTTGCTGCAAAGAATTAGTGCAAGAGACTGAGTCACATCTAGCAATGCAAGCAGATAACCCGGGGCTCACTGAACACGCTGCGGAGAACAATGAACTCTGAGATCAACAGTGTGTGTCATGCATGTACAAACTGGCCCCAGGTAACACGACTAAAGTGAAGCCACTGGTGTGCTTGAAAGAGATGCACAAAAAAACCACACTTTAGAGTTTATTTTATTGCTCTTAATGGCCTGCCTTCCGCATGTCTCATTTCCTTTTATTGAAGCTGTCAGAGAGGCATTACATTATCTCACATGCGTGCAAAAACAGCGTTTCAGTCGAGCTCACACAGACTTTTAAATGCCACAGCTGAAGAAAACAAGACAGTGGGAACTGCAAAGGGAGGAGGCGGCGGCAGAGTCCAAAGCACACACCTACGGGCAAAATTTCCAAAGGCTTCAAAAACCAGCCAAGCCGCAGTCTCTAACCAGAGACAGGCGAGCGAGGAAAGTAAAGGTACTGTTCTAATAAGCTGGATGATTCACTGAAGAAGGGCAAGGAGTCCTGTTGCAACAGAAGGCTGATGAGTAATTAATGGCTTGTCCTGGGCACAAGGCTGAGCCTTAGCCTGGTGCAGAGCCAGCAGCCAAACCAGCTCTACCGACAGGCCCATGGGGCAGCAGCACTCGCAAAGCTATTCCGAAGGTTTGAAAAAAAGAACATTACACCCGTATTTGCACAGGAGTTTCCCTGTGCTGCCCAGTTCCCCATGCTCACCACAGCATGGTTTTCATCCTCATTAGCACCCCGTGACAGGGGGAAATACAACCCAGCTTCAAAGATAAAGAAACAGATCTAACCAAGTAGCCTGTGGGGGGGACGTATGACTTTCTCTTTTCTTGTTAGCATGGCGCTGGCAGCGATCACGGCGGGGTACCAGGACGGCCCTGCAGAAAGTACTCCTCCCAGGGTCCCCGCACACGGGGCTCAAGGCACTGAACTCCCCAGCCAGCCTTCTCGTCTGATTTCCAAGATGTGGAAAACAGCGGTGGCAAAGTCAATGACTAACGGTCAGAGACCGAATATTCTTCTCATCTACAGAGGACAGCCTTTTGCAGCTGACCTGCCTTCATGCAGCTGGAATTTGGGTAGCAGGAAATCACAATATTCTGGGGTTAAAAACAATCTCCTCTACGTTTTTTTCCTCAACCAGATTTCTTCTTAGTGATTCACTTGCATCCACATGCGTGTCATGCACAGCAGGTATAAATAACTACCGGCCAGGGCGCTATCAGAGAAGAGGCTAATAGGGTATTATGTACATATACTGTGGTGAAGTCTGACCTTTATTTAAACACTGCACATCTCATGCCCATCCTACGAAGCTGAGGGGGATTACTTGGCTGCTCTGTACATATCATAATTGTGGTACAAAACCAGTTAGCAATATAGCAATATACTATTTAAATAAGGAAGTAGTCATTGTAGTTGAGTTTCACACATTTGTAGGGCTACTTTTCAAAGTCATTTTAACCATAATAAACATGGCTCGACATCTTTACGCTACGCACATGCACAGTGCCGACCCGGTACCCAAACAGACCAGCGCACAGCCTTTCCCAGTGCACCTGCACACCGGTCCTAACGCACCGATGATCACAAACCCACCCAGGTCTGTTCATAGACAACATCTTGCTACACACACATGCACACACACAGAGAAAACCATCTGGCATACACGCTAAGTGACACACCTCACTGCCTACCGATGGCTACAGGCCACACAGCAGTTCATTTAAAGTGTTACAAGAAAACATTCCCTAAATGACACCTAGGAACATGTCTATCCTCCCTGAGAAGCAAAGAGCCTGTCTCAAACAAGACCCCGTTGCCAGGGCCATTCTGCCACTTGGGCAAACAGGGATGCTTCCCCCTTCTAACACAAAAATAAAACGAAATCCTCTTTGCAAGGCAGCGTGCAGCCCGACAAAACAGCTCCTCCCCACGATGGGACCACAGAGGGAAAGGAGGTGAAACTGCTCTGACAACTAAACATGGAAGCAGATCCCCACAGACTTCCAAACAGCCCCAATATGACTTCACCGACCAGCCTGGGAGGTGCTGAGCTCACCAGCAATGCAGCACACAGCTCCGTGCCTACAGGGTATTAATTAAAGTATATGCTCGATGAGCAATGCCAGGCTGGTGAGAACTGTCTATTGACAAAGCTCGCTCAGAGTGTAGCACAGTAACCACAACTATAAATTATATTCTCTAGGGGTGGCACAGGGTGGAAGAAGGAAGAAGTTCACAGTGGAAGGTTTCCTTTCCCTCGAAAGGAAGAGGTCGGAGTGACACAGCCAGTGCTGCTGTTCGTGGCCCTGTTTCTGACAACCACAGGCCTTTGGACACCCCTGGAGCAGCCTCCCACATTCTGTGAACAACCTCCCTCCACCACCAGCAGAAAGAAGAATGTTTCACTAACCTCGAATCTAGGGGTGACAGAAGAGGGATGGGCACAGGGGACAGGCAGACACAACACTCAGCCTTGCTGCTGCTTCTCCTGCACAGGACAAACGCTTCCCTGCCTGTGCGACCCACTGCTGCGCTCCAGACACACAGGCGTTGCTGTGTATTTAACTCTTGTATGCTGCTGGAAGAAAGGCAATACTCTAGCTTTAGTTTGACTATACTAAGTGAGGAAACTGCTCAAAAGGGCACCAGGATATCTTGTTTTGCTCATCTTTGCAATAATTCTCTACAGCTTCTTGGCCACCTTGGACGACTTACTGAAACTCCTCAGTCCCTACCTCCTTGCACATGAGTCCTGGAAGGAAAGGATTTTGGAAACTGCCAAATGCAAGACACAAACAGCCTGGGACTGAATGATCATCAGATCTTTAAATACTGCCATTGCAGGTCCTGTGGTTTCCTGCTCTTGCTGGGAAGAAAAACACTGCAGAACACATTGATTTAGCCAGACCCGCAGTGACACGGCCGGGACAGCCACCAGTTTAGCCACTGCTTGTGAAATACAGTGAGGGTTGTTGTACAAGGAGACAAGGAAGCGACGGTGTCCCATGCTACTGCTTGCAGCAATGCTTCTTCGCCTAGTGTAGACAAGGCTTCAAGATGAACACTCCAGAGCAAATATTATCTCATTTACAATTGTCTTTCAGTCTTTTCATTGGGAAGGGTCTTTCCCGTTCACCAGCAGGCATAGGGGAACAGAGGGTACTGGCTCCACTCTGCCATGGTCCCGTGGGCATGTCCTGGAGCCCCCTGTGTATTGTACTCTGTGGAGAAGGCCGAGTAGCTCATTGCCCTGTACTGGCTGTGGGAAGGCACCATCCACTGGCCGAGGCCTTGCTCGGTGCCATAGGGACTGTACATGGGCGCTCGGGCCCCGGGTTTCCCAACAGAGTCTAGAGCCATGTTCACCACTCCTGTGTAGTCCTGGGGAGGAGGCAGAGGCGGGGGGAGTGGAGGCAGGTTGGTGAAGCCCTCTGGGAGCTGTTTGGAGTCATGGTCGGGCACCGTGGCCAGATCCAAGGGGTGGCACCTTGCTCGGAACTCGTTCAAGGCCACGGCGTCGCGGGTGGGAAGCTGCTGGCTGTCCCCTGCTTCGTGGAACCTGAGCCCCGAGGTCAGAGAGAAGAGCGAGTCAAACCTACCGCAGCAGAAAACCACTGAAAACCCACACAGATTCCCCGGGGAAAGGCAGGGCAAGCTCTTCCCCCTGCCTACTGCTTCATCTTACTGTTAGTGTGGAATTTAGTCCAAGTCTCGCTGTCACTCACACAGTAAAACTAAATGCCCAAGAAGGTAAGCCGAGACTACTCTAGTTCTGGCTCAGTTCTAGCCCAGGCTCACTATAACTCATGCCTCAATTTGCAACGATAAGGCGGGGGAAAAAAAATAAATCATTGGAGTCCTGCCACTCCTCCAACATGCTTCCTTCAAAGGACAGGCAAGCTCTGCAGTACACAGAACTGCCTGGGAGAGCATTTCAGGACAGGGAAATAAAGAGAACTCCTAAGACACGAGTATGCCCAGAATCAGTGGATTTGAAGTAACACAGAAAGGCTTTGTTGTGGAGCTATCTCCATGCTAATCTAGCACCTACCACCCAGGTACGCTATCCAACAGAAAGGCATCCTTCCTCCCTTACCCTGGCTGTTTTTCTTAGGAAATACCCAGTAGAAGAGAAATCCCACCAGTTAAAGGGTGGCTTTGGACATGAGCACCGGGAGGTGGGACTCACCGATATGTCTGGTAGGACGGCGTAGGCACTTGCTGCTCTCTGGCCAGACCCTCCCTCTGGTCAGCTGGCACCGGTGATGCTGCAGGAAAGGCATGGCTGCCATTCTGCTCTGAGACCCAGAAGGGGTATCCGCTGCTGACCACGATGGGGTTACTCTCTTCCTTCACATCTGCATTCTCATCTTTCTCAAAATCTGACTCACAGTGGGGAACAGAAGGAGAGAATGGAAAAAAAATTAGATGGGAGAAGAGAGAGCCAGAGCTCACAATGGTCTATTGGCAGCTGCATTAATCGCAGGATGGTGGAAGGAAACACACTAATACCTCTTCTGCAGTCATACTGCCTTAAGGGACTAGCCCTTTGCAGCTTTTTTCTGCCCTTACGCTGCGGTGTTTGGTCCTGCCCTGTCCTCTCTCCTTAGTTGTGCTACCGCAAGCAGCACTGTGAACTGGAGCAAGGAAAGATCAAGCTTAAAAACAACCTAACAGAAAGAGTAATTTTCTTTTTGTAAATGGTATCAGTTCCCTCATCTGCACCACAACCCAGCTGCACAAACAGCATTGACAACTGCACCGACGACAACCAAGAAGAAAGCAACGGGTGACACTGCAAGCTCCTATCACTATTGAAGAGAAATGTTATGAAGGCAAAGCTGATGATCATATGTGGTCACAAAGCATGGCCAGGCTGGGAGGCTGGTGGGAGAGCTGATGAGTAGTCAGTAATGACAAGCGACTTGCGAGCTGGCTCCTGTGGATCATGCCCAGAGAGTCAGAGACTCCAAAGCATATACGGCGCCCTTTAGGCACTCCACCCAGGCCACTCTCCCCAGACAGGGGGCTATGTTACTGCTTTTTTTCCTTCCCATGGCCTGGACATTCTTTGGAAGCAACTCTGGGTTTGTTGTGATCAATATTACCACGTTCCTCAGCACTGGACTCCTTTTCCTCGGGTTGCTTCCTCTTCTGGCCCTTGGCTGGACTCGACTTCTGGCATTTGGCTCGTCCTTCCCTGGAAAGAAACAAGACATGGGGGTAGCTTGTATGTAAACTTTTTGCCCAGATAAATACACAAGGGATGCTGGACAAGCCTTGGAAGACAAAAAGATAGGATGAACCTCTCTGACATTCTGTGACTTACACATCTCCTAGCAAAGCACCCTGACGGGCCCTCAGGCAATACGCTTGCCATAGTCAAATTACAGGGTCAGCCACGCCACCTGCCATCCATGTGCGCTTCCAGCAAGAGCCCTCGCCCCGCAGGAGACTGGGGATGAATCGGTCAAGGGGTTGCCCGCTTCATGTTGGTACAAAAGGCACAATCAACATGGAAACTCAGTACTGGAGGCTTTGGCACCAAGTTCGTAAGTGTAGTTTGAGGTTGGATATACATAATATACAGTAGGATGGGTCTTTCGCTTGAAAGCAGCTTTTTCCTAAATGGAAAATGAATCTAAGCTTAGTCAGAAATTATCCTATTAGGAGGAAAAAGAAAATCCACGACATTTTCTAAGTTTAAGTAAAAAAGAGTCAGTTTTGGCCTTTTTCATCAGGAAATAAGATATTTTTTTTTCAGCCATAAAATAACACAAAACAAAATCTCAGATATTTCCCTAACATTTTCTGCTTGGAAAAAAACATTTTTTCCCCTCTCTACTGCCAATTTATGGTTGCGTTTAAGCTGTGGTTTTTTGTGGTTTTTTTTTTAAGTCTCATCCACTGGCTGCCCTCAGACCAGACAGAAGATCTTGCTGGTATTGGTATCCATCTTCCCTCTTGCAGCAGAATCTCCTGTTGGAAGAGATGCTTTTCCACACCTGGGGAAAGGAGACAAGGGAGCCTCCAAGTGTCAGAATCAAGCTGATCTCAAAGAGATACAATAATCTACTGTGGTCTCCTGTTATCACTGCTATTTACACATCAGACTCCAGTCTAGCTCCAACTTGCAAGGAAATGCAGGTCTCAAATTTGTCACACCTCCCACGTGTCTGTAGGAAATCTTGTATCCCCTCCCACTCCTCAAGTCTCTTGGGAGGAGGCTGCACAGGGAACATCATTCCCAGACACAGGCAAACGCAGCGTGCACAATGCAGCAGGCTCTGCAGAGCTGGCTGGTACCGTTTTGCTCAATGACCCTGGGTAAAATTCCCAAGTGAACTCCAGTTTATTAAATAAATATGAAAAAACAGTTTACCTTCGAGTGTTCTTCCCATGTTCACGGAAACCTTTAGCAAATGGATTGTTGTCAATCTTGAGCTTTGTAATCTTAAAATAAAAGGAACAAGATTCAGTATCATGGTGACTGGTTGGGTTCTTTACTGTTTCAAGACCTTCACCTCAGGACAGCTTGTCCAAGGGTTTTGGGCATGCCATTGCCACAGTATCTGAGCTCTCCCAGCAGCTCCCGTTATTGATCAGGAATTGACACACAGAGAGAAGTGAGTTTGCCAGGGTCAGCAGGACTTTGGGTGGGATTCATCTGACTAGAGAAATATACAGGGTCAGTATCTACTATCTGGACTTTTGCACATAGTTTTAACTGCATTTAGGGTTCTGCTAATCACTGACAGTGCACTTAATACAATTAAGGTGCATGATTCATCTCATCCCAGAGTAGATGTTTTCCATAGGAACCATAACGCGCCTGTATCTTTCCACTGTCCATCACAGGCACTCAGGGTGACTAGCTTGGACGGAGAAGCCTTCCTCTGCAAGATTTCTAAAGACAAGAGTATTTAGCAATGTGTCCAAAAGCAGTACTTGCACACTGTACCTGCTCATTCTGGTAGGCAGTAACAGAAGTGAAGACAGTCTCAGGGAAGCTGAAGACTTGGAAGATGCTCCAGCGGACACTGAAGAGGTCATCTGCCTGCACAATGTGGAAGCGAGGCTTGTAACGGTGCATGGAGTGGAGGATGATCTAGCACAGACAGACAAAGGAGAAAGTTTCCATGTGTAACCACTGTCAACACACTCTGCAGAGTCTCCTGTGGAGACTCTGTGGACATCCATTTCAAACTACAGATGCCCGGGCTGGGACCGGTGTCTCCACCATGCCTCTTAGGGTGACAGGACAGCCTTCCCTTGCAGGTAGTTAAGAGAGCACAAGGGCTGGGCTGCGGGAGGAAGACAGAGCACTTGGATGTGTTTTAACTTCCACATGACCCAATTTCTCACAAATCTCACTTATTTCCCTTAACATCCACCTGCAACAAATTCCACTAGAGCACAGCACAAAGACCAGCTCCAACCTACATGCCCGTGTTGATCCAGAGTGTTGTTGGTGAGCTTCAGTTTTTGGAAGGAGACAGGTTCTTTCATCCAGTGGCTGCCAGGAGCTGGGGAATCTGGGTGGACGTAGGTGCGACAAGGGAGCTGGGGCTCTGCTTTTCCAGCAACTTCCCACTGATCTTTATTCCACTGTGAAGGGAAAGACAGAAATCTAGAGCCTAAAAAAAATGACTGTCATTATAGGAAAACTCCAGCAACTTTGCTTCACTGTTTATTTAGTGGACTCCTCTGAAGCACAGGCCTGACAAGAAGCAGATTCTTTCTTACAAGCCATGATCATTTTTCCTCCCTTTCTCCCAACGGCTGTCAGAGAAGTCTGACGTTAATCATGATTAAAACTGTACCACTTACAATGAAAATTAGTTACCTTTCCAGCTGCTCCCCGAGCAAAACTGACGAATAACTCCAGAGAGGCATAAAATCCACCAATTACTTCTGAACTTTTTCTAAAGACAATTTATTTATCAGCATGGCCAGTGAAGCACAAAGATTAATCTATTTCAAATGAAGATGGAAGGACAGCGTAACTTCTATTATTTAAAGTGCTTACCTTGTACCTGAAGTTATCCATTGGCACAAAATCTACCAGCATGAGGTACTTGGCATATGGGATTAAGCCAGAGACTTTGATTTTGCACTGTGGAAACATTCGTCTGAAGGAGAAATTAAATACATGGTGTAAGGATTTCCCTATAAAGTTAATATTGTCTAATCAACAAGCAGCAGGTCATGTTTACTCACTAGAGTGCAATGTTCTGGTAGAAGTATTTCTACAGGACAGCTATTGAACATTTTTACCATTTTACTGATGTACTGTCTAACCCTATGGGTTTAGGTGGAATAGGCACTAACAGGGCAGCAGTCACTGATGGCCTGACACTGTTACTGCTTTTGTTCCTCCGATTTCTGTAACACAACAGTGGGAAACCTAAAAGAAAATATTTGGAATTTGCAGGTAGTTCCCAGCCTTCTGCAGCTATCGCAGACCTGGAGGATAGATTAGAGCATTTTCTAGCGTGGGCAGAAAACGTGCTCTCATCTAAGAGCACATCTAGCTTTTCGTTCCAGTACTCCCTGCCACCGCTTTCATCTTCTGACTCTGCAAAAAAGCTTTGACACCTACCTCCCTACCCAAAGGGATTATTTCAGCTCACAGCAGCTTTGACATAATACATTACAATTTCGTATTCTTTCACCGCAAGCTCCACAATGCATGACTCATTTAAGCTTCAGAGTAGTCTGCACGCACAGATCATTACTAATCTACGCCATGTTCCTGTCTGCAAATGCAGACACAAACCCAGGTATTTACTGCTCGACTGCTGCTGCCTGTGACCAAGGCAAAGGAAACCCAGGGCAACCACCCAGGGCAACCTTCCAGAGCAACCTCACAGGACAGGAAGAACATCAGTGTTAAGTGCTGAGATAAGAGTTTTCTCTGCACGTGGGCCCCACAGTGACCTTTTGCACTTCACAGTTTGGACTTCTAGGACATCCTGAAAGTGCAATTCTTCTGCCAGAGGCAGGGAGGTGCGCATAACTGGCCAAAAAAACTAGTTGAAGGGCCACCATTCAAAAAATGAACACTCAGAGATTTTGATAACAGCTTACAGGGGTGTGGTGTTGGCAGCTGCCCTGCTCCCCTCACCTGCCGGATTTGGTGATGATCATCTCAGTTCCGATCTGATGAAACTTCATCCAGAGACCCATGTCCTCCAGGGTGACCACAATGGAGCTCTGTGGGTAGGGCTCCAGGCTGGGGGAAGGAAGTGCCTCACACGGCGCTTTCATGTCTACCAGGAGAGAGAAAACAGTAACTTTTAACGGTAACTCCTGCTAACAGGCAGGAGGGCAGCCGGCATGAAGCAGCCTCTGCTGCTCTGAGACAGGGCCCCGAGATGCAGCACCTCCCAGTACACTCCAGTGCCAGCTCCCTCCAGCACAGGGAGCTACCGAATTTCACATGCTGTTGTAACAGACGGGGTCCGTACATCTGGCCATCACTCCTCCCATCTGGCCACGGTACATCGCAGCCCCAAACCACTGTGCAGTGCACAGCGCTGGTTCAGCTCAGGAAGCAGAATGCTGTGATTTCACAGCATGTGAATGCTGTGAAGGTCCCAGGAGCTGCCGAGATCTAGGGAGTCTGTGCCACAATACACCTCTGAAAGAAAATCTATTATTTTCCTTCAAAGTGTTTTTTTCGTTACTTAGCTCAGAAGGCATAAAGGCTTTTCCAAAAGGTTTCTTTTTAGCTGTTAAGTTCTTTCTTGTGTGTGGTACAAACTCAACCTGACTTCCTTTGTTCCAAAACTCACACTGGCAGGTAGCCACCATCCACTTTCATTCCTGTTCTGGTATGATCCCAGTTACACAAAACACTTTACTAAGTGAATAAAATGAAAGCTGAAAGGACTGGAAAGGTTTTGAGTGTACCAGTGGGTAATGGGAGAAAACGACAGGTAGGTGGTAGCAGAGGTGAAAAATCTCTTCAGGGGACAAAGAAGGGACAGACAGGAAACCCAAGTGTAAGTGAAGGCAAGAAAGGGAGGTGACAGAGCCAGACCACGGAATATTCTGAAAAGAGGATGGCTGGTCTGAACTGGACTTGTGGATGGAGATGACAAAGGAGCCTGTGACGACAGTGGAAGGTGCCTCTTCAGTAACACACCATGGCACATCAGAGGAGCTGCCTGCAATACGCCTGCACTTTCTATTACAGACAGAGAACTAACTATGGTCCTGGGGAAGAGGAATGGGAAACTATCCTGGAGGACCTGTCTTTGGTGTTGATGGCACCCACCACCTCTGTAAAGCTGTTTGGATAAAAAACCTCCTATAGGCGCTCTTAACTATATTGTAACACACACAAGATTGCTGCTGCTATACTGAAAAGCCCAGGCAAAAAAAAATAAATGTTCCATTTTAGATCAAAATTGTGACCTGGTATAGCTACTGGTGGCCTGACTTCATACCCAGTAAGGCTTTACTAACACCGCCCTATGGTTTGAAGGAGGTATTGATAAGCCTGCTCGACTCGGGGGGTACCTGTCGCTCCGGGCCGGCAGGCCACTTCTGCTGGGTGCCGCGTTATCAGCCACGCACGGCTTTGTTTGCAGGGGAGATTTTTCTGCCTCTCAGCTTGATCAGATCTTATTCAGAGCATATCAGAAATAAGGGAATTTCCACCTTGTCACTGCTTTCCTGAGTAATGCCTTCAAAAGAACAAGCACAAAAAGTAGACAACTATTTCCAGAGAAATCAGCTTTTTCCAGAAAGTGACATCTTTCCACAAAAATAACTCAATGTGAGTCTAAGGGGTTCTTCCCACAGTATTAGGAAGTAAAAAACATTTAAATGCAATTTTGTGAGTTTGTAAAGGTCTTCAAGCATTTTAAAAAAAATATCCTCAACCCTTTTTTCTGCTTTGATCCAACATTAATGAACTGGCTAAGAAGTGACACCTAGTTTGCTCACTAAGATTAGCCTGTTAACATCTTCTTACTAAAGCTTCCCCCATATCCTCTTGCAAAGACATGAAAGCTGCCACGAGACGATGCATTTGGTAGCTCAGTGCAGCACATGTATCAAAAGGAGTTACAATAAAATTGGGCTGATTTCCCACAGGAGTCATCCAGTCACAAATATACGCAAACAGATTTTGATTAGCTAGACAGATGCTCACTCCTTCCCCAAATGAATTTTACAATTAACATTTTTGTAAGCAAATTCCAATGCCATTAAATGAGACTACAACAAGTCAGATCTCAGGAGTCCTTATTGAGGGGAGGCTTGCAAAGAAATGAAGAGGAATTGAAGTGAAAGGAGTTCAATACTGAATTAAAAATCAAAGGCAGATGTTATAAACTGGTTTTTAACAACATGAGTCTACAATGCACCTGTATGAGCGAGACGCTGCAGGAGACAGGGAAGAAGAGCTGCACACACACAAGCATTGCAGCAAAGATTTAAAAATTTAGTTAAAGTCTTTCACCCTGCAGGTTGTGTGTGCAGTCTGAGGCTCAAAAACAGGAGATTAGCGGTTTGCGTGGGGATCTTGACCCCAGGCACGGTGCGAGCTTGATAATGGAGCCACACAGCTGACTACACAGTCGTGTGCAACCAGCTTCAGCGGGATTCTGCAGTGGTGGATCCATTTGTAGGACCCACTTTGGCTTTCCTCCGCAGAGCCAAAGGCTGGCTTGCGAGGCGCTTGAAATTCACTCCTCGTTTGTGCCTATGTAACTAACGCCAAGACTCACGCGCACATCTCCCCCACAAAGACACCGGCACGTTGGAACTACAGCACAGAGGGTTGTGGCAGGGTGTCCAAGCACTCAACTGAAAATGTTAGATCCGTACTTCTATTGTTTCTTCTTCTATGTAACTTATTTTTTATTTCAAGTATTATTTGAAAGAGATTTAAACATCTTCCAAAAATTTTAGTTCTAAGTTATTTTAAAAGTAGTCATTATTATTATCATTGTGGTGGTAACACTGCATGTTGCACATTTTAAAACATGTTATTCGTGGCAAGATGAGGTTGAAAAGGAAGATAGCTGCCATGATAAAGGCACTGACAATTAAGAGGTATTCAATCTATTCCATGCTTGATTTTAAAGTCCTTACACTTTCTTTCAAAGTTTGTTCTTTGGTTTCCGTATCTAGAATACGCTGTACAGAACAGGTTCTCCTATCTTGGAGATGGAAAGGAGAGAAAGAGAAATGAGAGTCAATTCGGTAATGCTTAGCCAGGGGCAGTGGGGGATAAGATCTTTGCATAGAAGATGCTGGAGCATAATCCGCTCGCCTAAAGCAGTCCCTCAATTAATTGTCAATTACTGAGACAATGTTATGATGCCAGGAAATCTGTTGCAGACTTCTCACAAACTATGGGACAGGGTTTGCAATACTGGGAAAACTCCAACAAGGCAAAAGGTACACTTCTTAACTTTACTAAAACCAGTTATCATTACATTTGTTGCTGTTATCTTCTGAGTGAAGAAGTCCAACACTAACACCTACCCAGTGGCCACAGGGAAGAAACGCACGTCAATATATAAAGCTATCTGAGAAATTAATCTTGCCAACAACAACAAAAAAAACCAAACGTGTTTTCTGATCTTATAAATGTCAGTAGAAACACCCCGATGCTCTGAACCTCATTTCTCAGAACCAGAAAGCTTTTTGGCAATAATTAAAGTATGGTATTTCTACCAATGCAATGACTTCACCTCTCAAATGCACCCAGTCAACACCTGGAAGAGTTCAACTCAATAAGAAAATGAGGTGACTTCTGCAGTAGTTGGAATCTTTAACATGATAAAATACCGTAATACAGTATGTAATTTTTTCATTGTTGCTCTTTTGGTTTTCAAGTCAAAATTCTCTTGAAGTGGCAGAAATCAGTATGAATCAGAGCAATACAGTATGGACTGCTTTATAAAAAAGCCAAAACAAGGGTGAAAGTGAAAATTATCTGAGTCATTGCACATGTAGTTTGCTCACGAAAGAAACAACACATTGCAGAGGTAGAGAAAGGAAGATGAGAATACCCAGCCACCTCTAACGTCCACCTATGAACTGCATACCTAAACTAGGCAAATAGTTGTTTCTTTCTGATGTAGAGTAAAACCCAAGAGTAAATTTGGGGTTCGGTTATACTGACAAATGCAGCGCCTCTGGACTGGCCCTCCGTTTCCCAATGCTTATGTGTCATTGTGCCCAATCTGACCACGGCCCACACAGCAGAGGTTAGCAGCATGTTATGAGATGGACTGATGAAGAAACACATAAATAAAAACCTAAGGAAATCAGAAAAATCCTGTGTTTGAGCATGAACCAGGTAGAGGTGGGGTATGCCTGCTTGGGGTTTATTCTCTCAAAGGGTAGTGAAAAAAGCAAAGAAAAAACAGATAGTTTGTATCAGAACTATTATTAGCAACATAAATATTTCCAAACCTTCTGTGGCCTTCAACCTGAAGGAACTCGGGGTACTTTGCAGACAATATACAAATAACACCACGAGCCTTCAGTGAAGGATTGCACTGCTCAAGGTGATACGGATAAGGGAGTTTTGGGCTCAATTGTGAGTAAACCTTTGCTGCCTTACAAAAGATCTTCCAAGGTTCACAAAGAACACTCAAAACCACAATTTCGCATCTACTCCTACCCCCCCCCCCCCCCCCCCCCCATTTTAGAAATCCTTTCCAGCCACACACACATTACTATAAATGCTGCTAATCCTTCAGGAGCACTTGTCTTTCTAAAATGATTGTACTGTCTTGGCACAAGTTTAGGATCTTTCCGTGCAATGAGGTAAAGGAGGGAGCCCTTTACTTACCTGGTAAAGCTTGCATTTTTCCATGTACTGTGGAGTCTAGGAGCTTGCTGAGCAGAGACAGCCACCAGAGTTCTTACAAGGGAAGCCAAAATAGTCCAGTTCAAAAGCAGGTCTGATTTCCTGAAGTAAGCAAAAGCCCTTCCTTCTGAGATCCAGTGTCAAGAGTGACCGGGATGAGGATGGGTTTCCAAGCGCAGCTAGCCAAGGTGAGTTCCTGTTTTATGGAGGCTAATGAGCAGGGAGGAGCTTCTCGCCAGGGCTGTCCCCTTGCAATCCTTTGATGTCCAACGGGACAAAGAGAGGAAGGATCTACAGCAATGGCTGGGGCTAAGGGAAGAAAATCAAAGAGAATTAACATGGCTTTGACATACAGGAAACCCTACAGGGGAAATGCACCTTGATTTACTGCTAACGCACTTTTAAACAAATAGAGAGAAGACTAAAAACATCAGTTGAAGACTTACCTACAAAATAAATAAAAAAATCCTTAAACAGCAAGCAGGAAAATTTCCTTCTGGCTAATCCAAGGATTTGATACAATTTTCATCTTCAGAGCACAGAATCACTTTACTCTTGATTTCTGGTATCAGAATCAGGACTGCATTGAGCTTGTTCCTTCCCCAGTGGGTGATTAATAGGCTGTGGTAAAGTTTGCCCTCACAACTGGGATGCTGCAGCAAAGCGTTCATTCACCAACAGATGTCTTCTCCACTAACAGAAATATATTTGGTAATACAACATTACTTACCTACCCAATCTCTGCAATCACAGCCTCTGACTGCACAGTTCATTCTCCTACTGCGCTGTTTTTCTGCGGCAGGGTGCTCACCGCTGCATCACATCTGCTCTGAAGCGCAGAACCAAGGCTGCTCTACATGCAGCATCCTTTCAGCTGAGCTTCATGAGTGAAAGTTGCAACTGTTTAATGACACATCCACGCCAGCGCATCATTTTACTGGCACCAAACTCCTTCGGCTGGCACCTTCCAGGGCTAGTGCAAGTGGTCCAAGAGTCTCATGATGTATCAGGCACTGGTTTTAGGCCTTGTTCAAGGCACTGCTCTTACAGAAGGGAAGGCTGAGCAGAAACTGAAGGACTTGAGCATTTTCCCTTAATTAGTTTATTCTGCAAGTGTGACCATTAGCTTTTGTACTTACAAGAGCTTACAAGTGCTAAGAGACAGCAATCAAGTCTCATGCTTCAGGGCACAAAACACACACTGCACCTTGGTGAAGAAGGGACTTCTACGAATTCATGTACAGAAAAGGCTATACTAACATTTAAAGGTCAAAAATGTTCAAAAAAAGGAGGTCAAAAGCAGGATATCACTCTCAATGGGCCAGTGTTGGATACGGCACAGCAAATTCAGGAGCTCTGTTTGTTTCAAAGAGCGTTGCTGTAAGGCTACAGCTGATTCACGGTCTAGTTTTGCTCCCAATGAAATAAACATTTTTTTTATTTTGTCAGTGATGTAATTAGGACTTCTGATTTTAGTCTGACATGCAAAACATGTTCTGAATTTATTTGGTCAGTTTCTATAACCAAACAACATCCCTTTAGTTCTGCTTTTATGCCCTTTGGAGCAGGCAAAGCAAGGACATGCAAAGAGGACAAAGGAGTCTAATCAGAGGCGGGACTGGCTCTTTTTCAATAGCATATTTAATTTTGGCCATCCCAGTTCTAGGCAGGGAGAGAAAAGCCAATGCTTAGTGTGGCAAGGAAGAACATTTAAAAGAAAGCGGCTGGAGAGTTCGAGAAGTTCTGAAGAGGATTTTGTAGCAGGAGATGGTTTGTTACCTTCGTACCTTTGAAGGACCACATCCAGCCTTCTTGACATCCCTTTAAAACTACTGGATAATACAGAAGACCACAGGCTCTTCTCCTTCAACTAATTTGGGGACATCCAGAACTGAGGACTCTCAGTACCACTGAGGAGGAGACACTTATATGGTGGAGCAACATCAACTTGTAGCTCAACTGGAGATTATTTATTACCTATGTGGAAGAATAAATCAGAAGGGAACAGATCAGCTGAAACTGGTATCAAGGTCAAATCTCTGCTTGTACTTGCACAGCCACTACCAGACGCAAACAAAACAGGATGCAGAAATGCGTTTCTGTTCTGCTACAAAAGGAAAGTCAGCATCAAATCTGCCCCCTCCATGTCACACTTTTCTAATGCTAGTATTTTAACTGCAGAAAGCAGAAAAGGTAACCATAATCAGAATCTGAAAAGGAAAAATAGAACAAAAATTGGGTCATATTCAAGCTAGAAGCAAGATGGATCAACATCCCACACAGTATGAAACTGCACAACAGCAGCAGCAGCAGCACTGGGAATTTCAGAATCTTCACCTGACAAGAGCGTGGGATGTGTATCATGACTTACTGCTTCCTCCATGAAAGGGTATGAGATGGTCTCCTGCTGCCACTTCATTTGCACACTGTGTATCAGCATGTCTAGAGAATGCACATTTGCTGCGAGAACTCAAAACCTTTTGGCTTTTCCCAGCTGATTGATGGGGAAGGTGGAGTCATTAATTACCCATGACTAGTTAACAACTAGCTTTCTCCAGCCATTCTAGTTGCACTGGAAAGGTTTTAAAAGAAAAAAAAAAAAAAAAAAAAAAAAAGTTAATTTCTTACTATTGCTGGAAAGCGCGGCTAACAGAAGCAATCCTCAGGAAATTCATTACTAGCAAAGGGGGAATTTAGCACATTACCCTCTTGTCTGTCTGTCCATGGAGCACCCTCAGGCCGTTTGCTGGGAAGTCAGAGGGAACGTGCTGGTGTCTAACAATTCACTGGCAAATTGAAGGCTGGGAGGGCAGAAAGGGAGAGGAGAGATAGTGGATCTGACATGTGTAAGTCAGTGACATACACAGCTCTGCTCCAAGCTCATTCCCAGCAGCAGGTAAAAATCCTGCTGCGCCCAGCTCTAACAGTAGGCTCTCCGGCTGAAGGTAGGGCAGCACAGAAGGGAGGGGATGCCTGATGACAAAAGCAGAGACCAAGAGCTTTTGCTTTGCATCTCTTTGAGGACGTGATTAGAAAGAAACATTCCCCTCTGGGTTTTGTAGTCAGGCAAATGTTTTCTGGCACCTCTCCCGCATGTGAAGCTTTAACCCTTAACACTCAACAGGGCCCTGTAGGGAACTGCTCTGCACACATACCATCCCCCATTGCTACCTTCTGAACTGGGAGCTCTCCCAGACGGGGCAATCTTCTTGCCGTCTCTGGCTGGAGACTGGGGCTCTCAGACTGCGGGAGAACAGATTACGTGTGTCAGCTAGCAGGAGGCTTTGGCTAGCAGGATCTGAGCCTGCAAGTGGCTGTGCAGGATCATAGAATCATTTTGGTTGGAAGAGACCTTTAAGATCATCAAATCCAACTGTTAACCTAGCACTGCCAAGTTACCACTAAACCATGTCTCAGCACCACATCTACACATCTTTTAAATACCTCCAGGGATGGCAACTCAACCACTTCCCCGGGCAGTCTGTTTCAATCCTCGATAACCCTTTTGGTGAAGAAATTTTTCCTAACATCCAATCTAAACCTCCCCTGCTCTGTCCAGGCAGAACTTCCAGGACAGCATTCTGCTCCAAGAGCAAGCTCAAGTATGAAGCATAAAGTTACTGTCTGGGAAATTGCTGAAATGCAATAGAAATCCAGATTAGTAATAATGATCTTTTGAAAGAGCTGCTCTTGGAGCAGCACTCCAGTGTGTTAGCCAGCAATCCAACCCCTGCAGGCTTCCCTCTGTGCACATGGTTGTGAGAAAGTGTTAGAGAATCACAGAATCATAGAAAGGTTTGAGTTGGAAGGGACCTTAAAGATAATCTAGTTCCAACACCCTGCCATGGGCAGAACACCTCCCACTAGACCAGGCTGCTCGAAGCCCCATCCAACCTGGCCTTGAACACCTCCAGGGATGGGGCATATCATATCAGCTTTAATAAAACTGGGCGTAAGTGAAACAGTGTTGTCTGCCTGAGTTTGCACAAGCAAGAAAAAATAACATGGAGAAGTGTAAACTGCATTTAAGAGACACTCTCCTCTGAAACGCGAAAATAGCCTTACTGCCATTTAAATGCAACTCATTTAGAGAGTCCCACCTGGCACATGAAGGCCACAGTCCCAGAGCATCTTGGCAACTCTTTATGAAGGATACTCTGCCAGCTGCACAGGATGAATACTGAAAACACGGAAGGACAGTGTGTCAGTAACAGGACTCAAACCAAACTAAATAGATAGCCCTACACTGATAGCTACTTATTTCATACTTAATTAAAACCATGAAATGGCCTCAGACTTTCCAGACAGCTTCAGAATTCACAAATCTGCACCTTAAATACAGGCTCAGCTCATTGCAGAGCAAATGGGGCCCGATTATGCACACAGGGGGGTAGGGAAAAGCCGTGTTTTTCCAGAGAGAAAGCCCGATGAAACTATTGCTCCTACAGCTGTGCCAGCCTCCAAGCACGTGACTCCTCATCCATGTTAGTGACCGACATCTCATATAGAAAAAAAAGGAAAATACAAGTGCAACACCTTAGACAGCACTGAGCTGACTGAGTGAGCAGAGTGGGGTTGGTCAGGACAGAGTGTCTGAGCTCCAATGCTGTGGGCACTGCTGGAATTTGGGCAGCTGTACCAGCGAGTCTCTGTGGGAGGCTACAGGAACAGTAGAAGCTTGCAAAGTGTTTAGAGATCCTCTGAGGAAGTACTATGTATAATTCCCTCTCGTGCGGTAGCACAAGGAATAGTTCCTTCCCAGCTCCTTACAGCAGCTCACACAGCACAATATTTTCCTCTGATGGTGGGAAATGGCTTCTCCCTGTCTTTTCACAGTTGGGTTTGATTGCTTTCCTGGGACAAGTTGTCTGGTGTCTTCTGGCACGTTACATGTACGTGCTTTGCCACGCAGGCGCTCCTACCCTGGTCTGCAGAAGGCAGACCTCTGTTGGGCTGAAAACCCCATGCTGAGCCCCAAATTGTATCACCCCCAAATCTGCCTTGTGCTCTCAGAAAGCAAAAAGTCACATTTGGCAAAACAAAACAGTAGGTTGGAGAGGGCCTGTTGGTAACAACTCAACGCTAACTCCCAACAGGAAGCCAGGGCAGAGGCGCGGTGTGCTGCGGGACCGGCCACA